TATATATTAGAGTGATAAAAAGTTGAATGATCAAAATTACAAACTACGTCATTTTACAATTTTAAAGTAAAAAACAACTACGATATAATTTTTTACTTTTTTGCGACTTCACATTTTTATGTTGTGACTAGGCATGTCAATCGGCCTAGTCTGACCCTAAATCCGCAAAGTCCACATATATATTTAAGCCTAGCCCAAAAAATATTTGATTTTTTTTAAAGCCTAGACCGGCCCGAATAGGATTTCAAGGCTTTTTTATGAGTTTTTTTGAATTTTTGATTAAAGCGAAATAATATTTAAAAAAAATATTTATCAAAATAAATCTAAATTGAAAAAATTACCCATATGTTTTTATCAAAATATAATTTAAAAAAAAAAATTTTGACCAATAAATGTAAATGTCAAATGAATCTAAATAACTATAAATAAATAGTAAACATAAAAAAACACTAAAAGTTTAGGTAATAGAATTATAGTTTTCGCCCAAAAAATATATATAAAATTATTTTAATCAATTTGTCTTTAGAAAGTATTTTTAAACAAAATTTATTGTTGGAAAAAAAAACTTATTGCTAAACTTGTAATTTATCCTCGGGATTTTCTGGCAGGCCCGAACCCAAGGGGCTGAAGCTCAAAAATTCAATATTCCAAATAGGTTTAGTTTGAGAGACCCGAATTTTTTTTTTACTTATAAATCTAAGTCCGAATCCGATAAATTTTTAGAACTGGATCGGGTCGGGCTTTGAACCTTGATCCTAATTGTCAATTGACATGCCTAGTTGTGACCATCATATCTTTAATATGAGTTATTTAGTTGAAAACGAAGTTGGTGAAAGAGCTGTTGAATATAAATCACGGTTTATTTCGAAAACTATCGGAATATAAAAATTCGATTAGAAAAACAAAAAAAAAGCCTAGTCATGACGCTCCGGTTTGAAATTTGAAAAGAAGAGACCGTTGTATAATGTGAGGTCTCAAAGAGGGAATATACCTTTTCACAATTTCTCTCTCTCTATATATATATAATCTCTCTAACCTTCTCAATTCGCCTCTTCTCTCTTCTTCCTCCACTAACAACAATTGAGAATCTGAGAATTTGCGAAGAAAGAAAGAGTTTTCTTTGAGAGAAATGGAGAATGGAGTTAAATCTGCTGTGTCCGCCATGGAAGCCTTCGAGAAGCTTGAGAAAGTAGGCGAAGGCACTTACGGTAAAGTTTACAGAGCAAGAGAGAAGGCTACTGGTTTAATCGTCGCTTTGAAGAAGACGCGTCTCCATGAAGACGAAGAAGGCGTTCCTCCCACCACTCTTCGCGAGATCTCTATCTTGCGCATGCTCGCTCGCGACCCCCACATCGTTAGGTTAAACATTTCTTCACATTTGGGTTTTCTTTCTAGGGTTTAGTCTCTTTCTGGAATTCCCCCGATTTCTTGATTTTGATTGTGATTTTAGGAATTTCCAGATGAATTCATCTCTCAATTGATTAGATCAGGGCTTCGATTCTTCCTGCAATTGTCGATTTATGCTATTTCAATGTGGTATCTTTTTATGTTCTTCAATTGAAAATCCTTAGGGTTCTGTGTCTGATTCAATTGAAACTCGAACCTCTGTGTTGTAGTGAATGCATTTCAACATAGAGCTTATTGTCATAATGATCATCTTTTTCTCCAGGTTGATGGATGTTAAGCAAGGATTGAATAAAGAAGGCAAAACTGTACTCTATCTGGTTTTCGAGTACGTTGACACTGATCTCAAGAAATTCATTAGAAGCTTTAAGCAAGCTGGACAGAACATTCCACAGAATGTTGTCAAGGTTTGAGAATTTGGAGCTTTTGTCCTGTTTTTGTTTTTGTTTTTACTCTCATGACGATAAGCAGCCCCGTTAAGCTTATAGAAACATGTTTGAGATCTTGATTGCAGAGCTTGATGTACCAGCTATGCAAAGGCATGGCTTTTTGCCATGGTCACGGAGTGTTGCACAGGTTAAAAACCTTCTCTGTAATGTCTTGAGAAAACCCATTTGGAGACAGCTCAGTAATCTTACTTCTCTTGTTTTCATTACAGGGATCTCAAGCCTCACAATCTCTTGATGTACCGGACGACAATGAAGCTCAAAATAGCAGATCTTGGATTAGCCAGAGCCTTCACTCTCCCAATGAAAAAGTATACACATGAGGTATAACTCTATGTTGATGAAACATTAGTCCTGTTTCATGATAGTGTTTTTAAAATCCTATCATAGTTTGTCTCATGTTTTAACTCATGATCTTCATTGCAACAGATATTAACTCTGTGGTATAGAGCTCCAGAAGTTCTTCTTGGGGCAACTCATTACTCAACTGCAGTGGATATGTGGTCTGTTGGCTGCATTTTTGGTATAAATTCCTCTCTTTGAGTTTTCACTTCAATGTCACTATTGCAAGAACTAACATAGTTTTGATTCTTTTTTAATTTGTAGCTGAGCTAGTGAACAAGCAAGCAATCTTTGCTGGAGACTCTGAGCTCCAACAGCTCCTCCGCATATTCAGGTAAAGTCTTTGTGTTCTTCTTCACCTTTCTCTAACACATGATCATGACATTCGCTTACTGGCTTGCTCTGTTGTTTTTTCTTTTCTGTGTAATTCAGGTTGCTGGGAACACCAAACGAAGAAGTGTGGCCTGGAGTGAGCAAACTCAAGGACTGGCACGAATACCCGCAATGGAAACCCTTGAGTCTCTCAACAGCTGTTCCAAACCTCGACGAGGCTGGTCTTGATCTCTTATCAGTAAGTCCCCAAATGTTCCAACATTCCTCTCAGACTTTGCTTGATTAGTTGAGAATCACTCATCTAAAAGTATCTTTCCATTTTTCTTTGTGCGTGTTAAACAGAAAATGCTGGAGTACGAGCCAGCGAAACGAATCTCAGCAAAGAAGGCTATGGAGCATCCTTACTTCAATGATCTACCTGACAAGTCCTCTCTCTGAGGCTTCTCTTTATAAGCTCTCGGTAGTAGATTCTGTTCCAACTTTGTCATTGCTTGTCTCAAGCATTATTTTCCCAACTATCTTAGGATGATGAATTCTAGTTTAATATTTCTCCCTTTTGATTGGGTTTCTATTCCCAAAATGTATAACCCTCCAACTTTTAACATTGAAAGAATATTTCAAAGAAGAAAGAATGCAATTGTTGCCTT